CCAGGGATCAGGAGCTGTGGGGGCTGCAGATGCCAGAGCAGCCAGTAAAAATACAGGGGCACTGGAGGCCCCCATATGACCTACAGAGCCTACAAGAGACACTGAACCCAGCAGAGAGGATCAGGGGAGGCACCCCAGGGGAGCTGACCCTACAGGGACAGTCCAGCTGAGTTAGCTGGAATGTTCTCCTCTAATCCACTCGTTTGCAAGCTCAGGGCAAGAGTTCTGTTTTATGCTGCTTTTGTGTCTCCCAGCAACATGCATTCAGCTGAGCCCAGAGCAGACATTTATAAAGACAAAGGAGAAAAAGGAGAAATAACAGGAAGTAAGGAGAAAAGGCAGACAGGCCATTGAATGCTGAGGGCAGTGGCAGGGTGGCATCAGCGTGTGGCAGAGAGAGGGATATGGAGTCAGAGAACTTATTTTGTCCTGACATGTCCCTGATGATTTCTCTGATGATCAGCTTCCTCCTCTGTAAAATGAGTATAATAATGAGAGTACCTAGAACACAAAGCTGTTGTTAAGCTGAAAAGATTATTTTAAATAAATAATAGTCACTAAAAACTTTTAATAATTGAAATATTTTAATATTATAAATAAAGAAGCATTTTTAATAGATACTACGATTATTCTTCTTATAACTGATATGTTGAGAAATAGCCTTCCAAAAAAATAGTGACTACACACCCCAGCAGGCAAAGGATGGTTCCAGAGGTCACCATAGAGAGCCAGAGGCCACCTATGAATCCTAACACTGAACTGGCTACTCTTTGAACAGTTCCTCCAGCTTTTTCCCAGCCAAATTCCCAGGGAAAAAAGCCAGGAAAGGGAGGCCCAGATCCATCTCAAATCACACCCAAAGGCTGGATAATTAGAAAGGAAGCTAAGAACCCAGGAGAAAGAAGTGAGATCTTAACAAGAAGAAAATAAAATGATCATTCAAGTCCTAGAGTGTGCCAAGGACTTCCACTATTTGTTACATCAAGATGATGTCCTGGTTTATTACTGAGGTATCAGGACCTCAAGGAGGTGACAGGACTTTCCCAGGTCATGAAGCTAAGAGGTGACAGGGATATGTCTGAGTTGTGCAGCTGAGTCTAGCCCCAAAGCCCAGAAGTTCTCCAGATCACCTCTCATTACCTTAACACAAGGACTCAAAATGCAACAATCAGCTCCTTTCACACAAGCCCGAGGAAACCAGATCTGACAGCTTGGCCAGATGCACCAGAAGCCTCCATTCCACCAGCTCCCTTTATTCCACCAGCACCTTTAATACCACTAGGTCCTTCTATCCCACCAGCTCCCTCCTTCCACCAGCTCCTTCTACTACACCAGTTCCTTCCATACCATTCCACCAGCTCCCTTCATTCCACCAGTTCCTCCATTACCACCAGCTCCCTCCAGGCACCAGAATCCTCCATTCCACCAGCTCCCTCCATAGCACTTCCATGACACAATCAGCTTTGGAAGAACTGCAGCCCCAGAACTAAGAAAGAAAGGCTTCTCTGTGAGAGTTCTCATCTTCTCAAACAAGCCTGATAAATGATCTTTCAAAGAAGTATCTTTGTGTGGCCCTTCACAATGACTCCAATAGCCTTCTTGCTTTTAGGAAAGACAAAAATTCCATCTGATTCATTCAGCGAATCTTTCTCAATTCATCTCTCCCCATTCCTTTCTCCTCTCATTCTCTCTCACAGTATAATTGCTATTCCAGGAGGTGCCACATTCCATCCCAGGCTCACACACTCAGGTCTCTCCAGGTCAATTTGAAATGTGAAGTCATAAGGTTCCACTTTCGTGAAGGTATTAGAATGAGGGACAGATGCATATTTGCCATCCCCGTGGTCACCTCTGCTTTGAGCAGTATCCTGGAGGGGTGTCCAGGCACTGCTTACCAGCACCATGCTCTTTAAGACTAACTGGGAATTCTCTGATTTCCAGCCCTGGTTCTCCAGCCCAAATCCCTATCCTGAGCTCCAGACAGGTTACATCCAAGGGCAGCCAAACCACCATCCACAGTCCATACCTCACAGGTGCCACACACTCAGTGGGTCTCCCCAAGCCAGGGTCTCTCAACCTACTGCTCCAGTGAATAGCATCCCTTGGGCCAGTCAGCCAAGCCAAACACCAAGGAACCTCCACCATCCTTTCCTTCCACCAGGAACAAATCTTGTGAATTCCACCTCCACAACAGCCCCCCTGGGCCCCAAGCCCCAATGCAGGTGACAGACTCTTCTTAATTGCTGCCACTGCCTCCTCCATAGTCTCTTGGGTCCACCCCCACCTGGCAGATGCATCCTCCGCGGGGCCCAGAGGGAGCTCTATTGAAGAAAGCAGAAGAGGCTAACGAATGCTCACAGCTTTACTCAAACAAATTTGTTCCATTCCTCCCATTTTGTTCTAAGCAGCAGGAGCCACCACCCATACTTAACGCTGTGGAAAAGGGCTGCCACCGTCAAACCCCAACACCCTCCTTGCTGACCCCCAGGACGAAGTGAGTCAAGCTGCGTGGGGGGTTTCCGCAGGCCCAGACCCTAACTGAGCCACTCCTTTGCTCTGAGCTGACTCACGTCGTGCTAACTGAACACGCCAGTTACTTACTGCAGGCAGAGAGAACAGAAAGGCCGGCCAGGCCCAGCTCTGAGCACTGACTCTGCCACTTGCTAGCTGGGTGAGCACATCACATTGTTGCTCTGAGCCATAGTTCCCCTCAAGGAAATGGAGGGTTGTATCAGTCTCTCAGGCACTTGTAGGCATTAAATATGATTAACTAACAACATCACCAAAAGTTGCCAAATAAAAGGAAAAAGAAAAACCTGTCCAACACCACCAATGATAACAGGGCCACAGATGTCATTCTGATACATTCTTTCCATGTGTTTTTACCTCTGTAGATTTGTGGGTGTTTTCATAGTTCCAGTCCTAGAAAACATATGATTTTAATCTCTGCTTTTTTTCTCTCAACCTTCTCTCTGAAGTATTTACCAAAATTATTACATGCCTTCCTAACCATCATTTTTAAATGACTGCTACACAAGGAATAATTCCATCAAAAACATGTAACACTCTATTTGGTAAGAAGAGTAAATTTTTTAAATAATTCTAATTTTTCTGTTCTCTGATTTTTTCTGATTAGTGAAACAATACATGGTCATATAAAATTTGGAAAGCACAGGGAAGTAAAAAGAAGATGAAATATCTCATAAACCCATAATTCAGAGTAAACTAATTACTTTCTGGAAAAAAAAAGGGATTCTTAAGAAACTTAAAATAGTCTGAGAAAGTTGTTAAAAATCTAGCATTGTTTCCAATACTTTGATTTTATTAAAAAAAACACTGCATTCTTATACATGAATGTAGGAATTTGTGATGATCTCTGCTGCCAGGACAGGTCAACTTTCCTGCCTGGCCCTGTGCACATACATTATATACCAAGATACCATGCCCTCCCCTTGAAACTGCATGCTTATTCTTAGTGGTTCCTGCACACAGTTCAGGCCAGGTTCACTGGGACCATGCTGTGAGCCAGACACTGAAGCTACAGCCAAAAATAAGAGCAATCCCTGTTCTCCAAGAAAGGGTCAGCAACTAGGGAAGTCCCACATTCCTGTGGATGCACAAGGAGGTGCCACATTCCCTCCCAGGCTCACACACCCAGCTGCTCTAGCACAGATTTAGCAGGGAGAAAGCGAGGGATAGAAATAGACCAATGTGTTTATCCAAGTACACACTCCAATTCTTAGATAACCAACCAAAGGGTTGTTTTCACTTTCAAAGCCCCAAGTCACAGTTGACACAAAACCGCTATGCTAATTGTGTATTTATCATGTACAAATCCAATGCTTTGCATGTATTCTGCACTTCACCCTCATAACAACCCTCCATTTGATTATCTCCATTTGACAAATGAAGTTTACTGACTTGCTTGTGGCCATATGGCTACTACAAAGTAGAAACAGGGCTCAAGCCTCACCAGACTGCTGCAGTATCCATACACAGAACTACTTCTCCTTCTGCCCCCATTGTTGATAATTGTCCCCTAAATATCTTTTAGGTCTGCCCACATCTATCTACTCACCATCCTTGTTTGAGCCACTATTTTTCACTTGGATGATTGCAGTAGCCCACTATAGTCCATCAGCCACATAAAAACCAGTGTGCCTTTGTCAAAACTCAAATCTTGTTACTCCCCTTCTTAAAGTCCTTCAGAGGCTTCCTTTATACTTCTAGCATAAAACCTAAATTTCTCCATACAGCCTACAAAGCCTGGAATTTTCTGCCTCTGTGCACTTCTCCTTCCTTATCTCTGCCTGCTCCCCATTCTCCTCCTAGAGCCCAGCCCTCACTGCCCTTATTCCTATTCAGCATTGGGGCCAGCCTCAGGACCTTTGCACAAGCTGCATTTTCTTCAACCACCTGAAGTCTGAAATGACTTCCCCAGGATACTTCCCTGAAGATCTTCCTTGCATCCTCATGGAGCATGCCTCATGGCTCCTTCACACAATTCATTAGAGTGATAAATATTTACCAGTCCTCCTACTGCCATCTCCACCAAGAAACAGAAAGTCACACACTTGGCTTTTAACACTAAGAAGTCAGCCTTTCTCTCCTTTGTCTTTTCTATATTTTGTTGCAACCAACCACTGACTAAAATTTCAGCTTCTTTATACATTTCCATCATATTTCCTGGAGATTGTGATGGAAAGGCAAGGAGATGGGGTCAGGAGGAAAAAGAAAAAATGGGACACATTTATCAATTACCAAATTACCTGAACATTCTGGAGCAGAAGAAAGAATAAGTAGTCAGTCCTCAAGAGCAGAGATTTTGTTATTTGATTAGATTCAATGACCCAGACAGTGTGGCCTCAAGAAATCCTCTAAAAATAGCCAGAGTCATTTTCAGCCCTCCAGTAGTACCTGCTCCACTAGCATGAGGTGCCTGGAACTGACTGAGGCCAGCTTTCCCTTCTCTCTTTCTGTTATACCATCAAGAAACTGACCGTAAATTCAGCAATTTTCGGCACCCGGAATTTCCCTTTGTTCTTCTGTTCAGGCTGATACTCCGTTCTTGTCTTCACTATCACCTGAAATATTTAAACAGTGTTAGCACACATGGACATATTAAACATTTTTATTTTTCTTCTCTTTTATTTAGTAACCAAAATTTATTATACATCAAGTAAAGATCAGAAAATAAAGAAACTTCCTTAAACACACACAAGAAAATAGAAAATTCAAATTATCCGTAATACTTCTCCATTCTAACTGAGACAACCATCGGTGAAAATTTTGGTTACATCTTTCCAGATGTTTTCTTATGCACATACATACATATATTATATATACATGCTATTTATGCAAACATATATTTTCTTTTTATGAGATGGATTCTTACTTAATGAATTATAACCTGCTTCATCACACATTATATTAACATTTTTTCCATGTAGCTAAATATATGATTGTATTTTTCTCTTCTGATGTAGCATAGTATTTCATTGTGTGAAAATACTACAATTAATCTAATTAGTCTCTATTGTTGAACATTTAGCTCATTTCCACAATTTGGGTTATACAAACAAGCTATGATGAATATTCTATAGCTAAACCTTTGCACACATACTTAATTCCAATTTGATTAAGGGACTTCCACAGAGAAAAACATTAAGGTCCACTGAATCTATTATATCATCTTATTTTTCTAATGTCTGAATATTTTGCAGAGGTTATTAATATTTTATCAAGATACACTGTCAAGGTACCAAGACATTTATGGAACTCCATCCCACTGGGTACAGCAAAGTGTAAGAAAAAAGAAACTTGACAGATAATCAATAACTATTGCTGAGTGCCATGGTGTCATGGGGAACACAGAAACTGTCAGAGCCTCAGGGCCTCACCTGTAAAATACAGGCAATAATCATAATCCTAATCCCAGTTTAACAAGGTTGTTTTGAGGGTTAAATGAGATGATATTGAGTAAGATCTTTGGAGTCATTTATTATGTTCCATAACTAGATAGAGCACTTCATATACCTTATCTACACATTACCATCATTTCCATTATCCTGGAAACTGAAGCTCAGAAAGGCTAGGTCACTTATCCAAGGTCACACAGCTAAAAGAAAGCTATCTTCTAACCATGATCACTCTTACTTCTCATAGGAGCTTAAATTACTCAATTTTCACTAAAAAGCCCACCAAGTTTTCCTGGAGACAGCAATCAAACATATTGACTAATGCAAGAATTCTACTATGAAGAAAGTTCTTTAAAATCTATGAGGCATACCATAAACTAAATGTAGATCAAAAAGGAAAGGATAGGAAACTTATTGAACATCTACCAACTAACACTTCAATATGTTAGTTAAGGAGGCTCTGGGACCCAGCCCACCTAGAACATCTCTCCCTCCCTGACACCTAGAGGCTATTTGCTAATGGAAATCCTGCTGTGGGGTTGGAACTGATGTTGTCAATATTGTAGGGTGGTGGCAGAGTGTGTACTGGGTTCCAATCCTAACTCTGCCACTAGGCCTTCTCTCTTGCTTTTCACAACTACAAAATGGAAAAATAACCATAACGCCTCATTGGATTGTTGCGAGGCTTAAATGATTTACTCTAAGATGAGCAGTCAGACCATTCATTCAATAATAAATATTATTTTAATTATGCCAACAACCTGAATGAGCTTGCAGGAGGACCACCCAAACCAGAATGCAGCCCCACTGACACTTTGATTTTAGGCCTTTGAGACCCACAGAGAACCCAGCCAATGCATGCCTGGACTTCTGACCTACAAAAACTGAGATAACAAATTTGTATTATTTTAAGCCATTACTTTTTTGGTAATTTGTCACACAGCAATAGAAAATTAAATGTGCTTTTCCACATTGTTTGGTAATTTGTCACACAGCAATAGAAAATTAAATGTGCTTTTCCACATTGCCAAGTCCATCTCAACCATTTCTTGGCTTGATCCCTTTAGTTCTAGATCCTTGGCCATCAGACTGTTCTCAGGCATCACACATCAGATATTAAAAAACATTTGCTTCTTAGTCCTTACTCTGCTCCTCTAATTTCATAAACATCTCTCCTAAAGCATCTCAGAAAGCTTAAAACCATTTTCATCATTCCATGTAATCTTAAAAGACTCTATGCATAGCCAACGTGTTGAGACAGAAGACAGAACTAAAAAAATATTACTATCAGGATGAGATAATAAATGATCATTATAGGCAACATCATTGTAATTATCATAATAAACATTTTGTGGTTGCATCCCTAGCATCCATTTCAACCAAAAGTTCCCCATTATTCCCTTCAGGAACTCACCCCTACCCTGCTGTGTGGCAGGCATGTGGTTTGGTGGGACTGATCCCTCCCTTAATGATAGGGGTCGTCCCTGATTAGGTTAGCCAATCAGGGCATACTATCCTATAGATCACACAATTTGACTGGCTCAGAGATGGGTATGTTACCGAATTTGGATCAATGAGATATGAGGTAATAGTGACAAGTAACTTGGGAAAAGAAGTCCCTTTGCTCTTGATGGATGTTCCCCAAAAAGCATGATCTTCCTCTGGATGATGTGGAGGCCCTGAGTCCTGAAACTGCTGTAGAGATTGCCACAATGAGGAGGAACCAGGATTAGGATAAAAGCAGCATATAATGGAGGGCAGTCCCAAGAGAAATCCCGAGAAATGGAGATGGGCCCTAATGATACCCTGCCCTCTGGATCACAGCTTGCCTGAAGTGCGCCCTGGACTGTGAAGTTTTAGGGGCAAACATATATATATATATACACATACATGTGTATGCATACTTTTAGGGACTTAATCTAATTTGGGCTGGGTTTCTGTTACTTCAGGCAAAAAGCTCTCTATCTGTTACAAATGTGTTTCAAAAAAAATGAGCTGAAAAGCTATAAGAATTTAGTAAGATGGGCAAATGCTAAATAAGTACAATAAAATCAATAGATGTTCTTGGGGCCAGCAAAAATCACCTCAAAATATAACAGGCTCAGCAAAAGATACACACAAAAACATTCACAGACACTTTTTTCATAACAGCCCAAAACTGAGACTAACCCAAATGCCCATTAACAGGAGAATGTATAAACTGTTGTTTATTCATCAAATGGAATGGGACACAGTAATACCACACACACAGACATTACACTGAATGAAAGAAATCTGACACAAAAAGTGAAATACTATGTGATGTCATTGATTTCAAGTCCAAAATATACATATACAGTAATTTATAATCACACGATTTATATGATATTTATAATAATATATATGTTTCTTATAAAAGTATCCCATTTACTATTATAGTAATGGGGGGTGCTGAGTTTAGGAAGAGTTAGGATCATAGCCCTCCCTCAAATCCTTGTCCTGCTTCCCTGACCACCTATTAGATGTTGTTTATGCCCAGAGTGACTTTCTAATGAAAATAGTTCTTTTGGCTTAAGAGCCCCACTCCTCAACCACAGAATTCAAACACAGGCCAAGGGACAGGTGAGTACCTGACTCTGTGTCATTCCTTAGTCGTCTGCTCATGTCTTTAGCTAAGGCACATTTTCCCCAAAAGTAACCCAGGTTGCTAGATAATATTTTACCTTTGCCCCTACAGAAGTGTCAGCTCATCAGAACCCCATCTCCACTTCAAAGCTGTATCTTTGCCCACTTGCCTAGAACAAATGGGCAGTCTGCTGGCCTTACCTTCCTTGACCCCTCAGTAGTATTTGATAGGCTTGTTCATCCCTCCCCCCTTGGGTCCATGGCAGCCCCTCCCTTGGTCCTTTTCCTGCCCACTGACCAGCGCCCCTCAGTGTCCTCTTCAGACTCCTCCCCTCCCGCCTGGCCTCTCAGTGTCAGGCTTTGTCAGGGCTGGGTCATGGGCTCTCTGCCCTCCTACAAGCCCCCTCTGAGCATTCTTATTCCCATTCATTTCCAGTTCATCTTTATCCTCATAACTCTCAAATTTATATCTCCAGCTCACACCTCACTCAGCACTCAGATTACCCTACTGGACATTTGCCCTTGGACCGACACACCTAAATTTACCACGTCCACAGCAAAGCTCTTGGGTTCACTGCCCAACCTGCCCCTAAAATTTTCTTCTCCATGTAATCCCCAGCTCCGAAAGTGGTTGCATTATCCATGTCATTGTTTATGTCAGATCAAATACAGGAATCTCCCATGATTCTTCCCTTCCTTTCACTCCTTAAATCCATTCCATCACCAGCTCCTGCTTCCTCAGAAACTTCTCTCCAATCAACCCATTTGTCCATTTGCACTACTGCCACCCTAGTCTAGAGCATCACCACCTCTCCATGAATGGCTCCTCTGGTCAGCTTTCTTGTTTCCATTCTTCCTTCCCAAACCCAGAGAAAAGAGCTTTTATGTCTGAAGGAACAGCATCTACTATCAATCCTTCAGAAGACCCTCAGAAAACTTGGGGGAACCACAGTGAGGTGGTTTTGCATGGCCAGAAAACAGGGCCGGTGAAGTGAAGGGTAAATAGAGGTTCTGAACTGAAGATTAACTTGAGGGCAGTGAGTAGCTTAGGGAAAGCAATAAAACAGAGAATGGCTTCCCAGGTAGTGGAGAAGCCTCTGGCCACAGTGGAGCTACCCTGGAGAGATATAAGGAGCAGGGGAAATACACCCCTACCGAGTTACTGGAACCAGCCAACTACTGGGTATGTCATGAAGTTTAGTGTTCTGTTCCCATGGAGTGAAGCCAGAAACAGTCCCCTTATGTAAAAGGAGATATAGTAACAGCCAATTCTTTTCTTTATGACTATGAAGGGGAAAGCATAATAAATGTTAGCCAATCATTATTAGCTGTACCTTGGAGAAATCAGCTTTCATAAGCAAACAAAGAAAGAGAAGAGAAAATGAATTTCAAAGAAAGCCTCTCTTTTCTGCAGCTGGAAAAAAAATGGAGCAAAATGGAGCCCTGTGCTCCTTGATTAATAACAGAAATGGGGTGGGGGTGGTGAGAGGAGAGGACAAAGTCCTTCTACTCTTTTTATTATTTAAAGTAAAGTGGGGTTTTAAAAATATTTATAAAGATGA